CAAAAAATATCCCCCCCCAAAAAAAATTCTATGGGGACAGAAAGTAGAATGATGATTGCTTAAGACTAGGGGAAAAGAAAGGTGTGTGTGTGTGTGTGTGTGTGTGTGTGTGAGAGAGAGAGAGAGAGAGAGAGAGAGAGAGAGAGAGAGAGAGAAACTAAATGGTTTAATGGTTTCTTTTTTCTTTATCTTGGTACTGGGGATTGAACCCAGGGGTGCTCTTCCACTGAGCTATATCCACAGGGTATTTTTTAGTTTTTTATTTAGAGACAAAGTCTCAATTATTTGCCCAGACAGCTATATATAATGCTCTCAGTGCTCTCCCCCTGAGCTATATCTCCAGTTTAAGAAACAATATTAACCTAAGTTTTCCCAAAGGATAGTGCCAAAGCAGAAAACCCTATATAGACCTTGGGACCCATATAGTCTCTAGGGTGTGTGAAGCCATCTAGGACATATTGCCTCCAAAGTTGTAAGAGATGTTTAAACAGGACAGAGTAAATGTTAGATTGGAGTGTAGTCATAATCACATTATTATGTCTGACCCCTACCATTGGACTAACTGATGACATGGAGGAACTTGTTTCTTTTAAAAAGAAGATGCAGATTCCTTATCTTTGCCTGCCTTTGTTCCCTTCTTTTTTGGGGGGGTGGGTGGGAGGGTACTGAGTATTGAATTGGACTTTTTACCACTGGGCTATATCCCCAATCCTTTTTATTTTCTATTTTGAGACAGAGTCTTTCTTGTTAAGTTGATGAAGGTCTCTCTGAGTTGCCAAGACTGGTGTACCACCAGGCCCAGTGACTTGTTCCATTCCTATCTCTTTCCTTATTAAGCCTCATATTATAGAAATATTCCTACAATTTGCTGGCCATAGTGGTGCATGCCTGTAATCCCAGTGACTTGGGAGGCTGAGGCAGAAGGATCACAAGTTCAAGGCCAGCTTCAGCAACTTAGCAAGGCCATAAACAACTTAGGGAGATCCTGTCCCCCAAAATAAAAAGTGCTGGGCATAATATAGCTCAGTAGTACAGCACCTCTGGGTTCAATACCCAGTACCAAATTAAAAAAAAAAAAAGAATGAAAGAAATAGTCCTACAATTTGAGCTCATCTGGGCTTTTCTCTCCCTCCCTTATTCACTCATTCATCAGTTCACCCACTAAATGTTTATTATCTACCAAGGATATTACTAGATGCCAGAGATAGAGATAAATATGATTGGGTCTCTGTTATTGAGAAGCTCACAATCTAGAATTTTCCCAATTTCTTCCTAAACACATTTTTTTCTTTTCTTCATTCTAGGATACAATAGAACACTACAAAATTTTTATTTTTATTTTTATTTTACTTTATTTACTAAATAAAAATCCATGTAGTTGGGTTGGGGTTGTAGCTCAGTGGTTGAGCACTTGCCTTGCATGTGTAAGGCATTGGGTTCAATCCTCAGCACCACATAAAAATAAATAAATAAATAAAACTTATATTTGACATCCAGTAATAATTCTCTAAATAAAGTGTGGTACATACAGCTAATAAGATAATACACACACATTACAATTATGTTGTAGAACATATTGTACAAGATAATTCCAATTTTGTAAAAAAATATGCAAGCATTGAAAAAAAAAAGGACTGGCATAATATACATCAAAAAGAACAGTAGAGGGGCAGGGGTTGTGGCTCAGTGGTAGAGCGCTCACCTAGCACATGTGAGGCCCTGGGTTCAATCCTCAGCACCACATAAAAATGAATACATAAAATAAAGGTATTGTGTCAAACTGCAACTAAAAACATAAATAAAATAAATAAATAAATAAATAAATGGCAGAAGAACCAGATGCAGTGGCACATGCCTGTAATCCCAGTGGCTCAGGAGGTTGATGCAGGAGGATCACAAGTTCAAAGCCAGCCTCAGCAATGGTGAGGTACTAAGCATCTCAGTGAGACCCTCTCTCTAAATAAAATACAAAATAGGGCTGGGGATGTGGCTCAGTGGTTGAGTAGCCCTGAGTTCAATCCCCAGTACCCTCCCCCACAAAAAAAATCTATTATTTTGGAGCATTTGTATTATTATTATTATTATTATTATTATTATTATTATTATTACTGGCACCTAGGATTGAACCCAAAGTCATTTTACCACTGAGCTACATTCCCAGCCCAAAATGACAGGGTTTTGCTGCATCGCTAGGGCTAATTTTGAACTTGAAATCCTTCTGCCTCAGCCTCCTGAGTAGCTAGGATTACAGGCGTTCACCATCACTCCCAATTCTTAATTTTTATTTTAATAGACATTTATTTATTTACTTATTTGGTGCTCTGGATCAAATCCGGGCCTTATACGTGCTAAGCAGGTGCTCTACCACTGAGCTAGGCCCCTAGCATAATAGACTTTATTTTTATTTATTTTAGAGTACTTTTAGATTCATTGCTAAATTGGGTAGAAAGTTCACAAAGTTGCCATATATGCCCTTATACTCAGGCACCTCCCTCCCTGCACAAGAGTGGAACATTTATTACAATCTGTGAATTATTATTGATACATCACTGCTAACATCCATGATTAACCTTAGGGTTTGCTCCTGGTATTGTATATTACATGTGTTTGATAATGTGTACAAATATGTATCCACTATTCTAGTATCCTGGGAAGTAGTTTCACTACTCTAAACCCCTGCATTCCTTGTTATTCATTTTTTTAATGTGATTGTTGGTGACTACATTCATTGTATGGACATAACCAAAATTGATTTAACCAATCCCCTATTATTAGATATTTAGATTATTTCCTTATCTGTTTTATTTTTATTTTGGGGGTGCTACTATTGAACTCAGGGCATTAAGCATACTAGGCAAGCACTCTACCACTGAGCTATTCCTCAGTCCTTATTTATTTCATATTTCGAGACAGGGACTCCCTAAATTGTTCAGGCTAGCCTCTCAATGCTCCCACCTTGGCCTCTGGAATAGCTGAGATTGCAGGCATGCATTATGCTCCCCCCCCTTTTCTCTTTTAAAGATGTGAAAACTAAGACCATGTAACTAGAAAAGTGACTTGTCCAAAGTCACCTGGCTGAAAAGTAGGCAGTGTTGAGATTAGAAATCTGGTCTTAAGCTACCATACTGCCTCTAGCATTAACAATATACCATTCCCCACCTTCACTTAGGTTGTCTCCCAACTTGAAAGCTAATGACCAGGCATTCAACAACCAGAGTGACCAATTGTCCAAGCATGTGTTGAGGAGGGCAGGCAATACAGTAGAACTCCGTGGCCCAACTGAGATGTAACAAGCAGAAAATGCAAAGGGGCAGTACAAGGATAGAAATAAGCAGAAGGTGGGAGGTGGGTACACAGGATACCAGTTAAGATACAGAGAAAGCTGAATTTAGGAAACCTAAACCCAGGGTGAGAGAAGAACTCTTGCATTTATCTCTACATAGGAGAAAGCAAGATAACCTCAAGGCCATGGGGGAGGTAGGGAAGGATAAGGCTACTGGGAAAGCGACTGAGAAAGGGAGGGTAAACTCCCAAGGATTACAAGGCCAGAAAAGGCTTAGCCTGAAAAGGAAGAAAGGCTAAAGGCACAGAAGCCTAGAATGGACACTGTATTCCAAAGGAACTCCTTTCCCACCTGAGCCTCTAGTATCTCAGCTACTAAATGCTGGGCAGCCCATAGGGCAGGCGTGATAACGTGAGGAGGTGGGTTGTAAAGTATTCTAACTAAATAAAGACTGGGAAAGGATTCCCGCACATATTTTTTTTTAAGCCAGTAGGCCTAATGCTAGTGGTCCCTACCCTTTCCCCGCTTCTCTAGCCTTCACCTCAGCCACACCCACATGCTAAGGACTATCCGGGCGGGGGAGCTTGAGTGTGTTTGCGCGCGTGCGTGCTCGTGCGTCTGAGAGGCAGAGACAGAGACCGAGACAAAAAGAGACAGGGTGAGAGAGAGGGAAAGAGGGAAAGCAAGAGAGAGCGAGTGAGAGAGCGAGAAGAGAGACAGGACGGGAGAGAGGGAGGGAGAGAGAGAGAGAGAGAGAGAGAGAGGAAAGAAGGAAGGAAGGGAGAGAGCGAGAGCGAGAGCGAGCAGAGCTATCTGCCCTGGTGAGGAAAACTCTAGAGATAATGCAGGGAGCTCCTGCAGGAAGACTCAGGGAGGAGATCCCAGAACTTACCCCAAGACCGTTGAGGGAGTGGGGGATGGCTTTACACGACCTGGTTTGGGGGTCGTCAGACAGTAACGGTTACTGCATAGGCGTTGTCACAGAGCCAGACCCATTAACCAGCCCTGGGTGGCTGGAGAGCAAGCTTAAGACACCCCATAACTATGACTCTCAGACTGGTTAGGGGGGCCCTAGGCTGCAGACAAGGGGAGGAGGGGCACGTGAGGGCTGGGTCCCTGCCCCCCCCCATCCTCTGCTGTCACTCATTACCCCAACAGTCGCCCAGGGGGCGGGCCCCGGAGAGGTGGAGATGGGGGGAGGGTAATCTTGGCAGGCGCCTGCTGCATGGCGTAGGTAGGGACTGCTGAGGGGGGCGGACGCCGGGGGGGGGGGGTTGAACACGAGTGGGAAGCGAAGAGAGACACGGGGAGGGGGAGGGGACCGGGAACCATTTGAATGAGAGGAGGGGATCACGGGTAGAGTGGGCTCCAGGAGGTAGGGCGGGCACGGGTGTGACGGGGGCCAGACTCTTGAGCCAGGTAAGGGAAGCAGGTGCGTAGATCGGTGTTTTTTGTGGTTTTAGTGTACTAGGCCCCATGGTGGAAAGGGGGCACCGCCTTCCCCGGGGGCGGGCTTCAGAGCTCCAGAGGCTATCTTTTCCTCCTCAACTAACGGGGCCCCGGGCGGGGGCTCAAGCTCCATCTCCGGTGACTATGCTCCACTCCGTAATTTCCAGGCGGCCACTGGGCTGGGAGTCTCGCGCCGGGGGCCGGCGCTGTCTCGCGAGCCCCCTCCTCGAGCCAGCCAATGGGGTTGGCTGTTGGCGCCGCCCGCCCGCCTGGTGCAGAGCGCTGGGCGCTGCGAGCGGCGCTGCCATTTAAAGGGGCCGCGACCCCTGTCCCGGCTGCTAGGGAGGGAGGTGGAGAAGGAGCGCGGGGCCGTCGCTGTCTACAGTTCTAGGCTTGTAGCCGTTACACTAACCCTGCCGCAGGTAGGGGTCGGGCCTGATCAAGCCGAACCGAATCTGCAGGCGGGATCTCGCAATAGCCGGGAAGGGGGTCTGAGGAGAGATCGTAGCTCCAAAATGTCTTCCTGTAAATGCCTGAGGTGGGGGGGTGGGCAACAGGAGAAGGGAGAACTGGGGGAGCTGTGGGAAAGGGGGACGGGGCTGAAGAAGTGGGCTACCCTGAAAGGTAACTAAGGGGGAAATGATTAGGAAGGGCAGTTTGTGGGGGCGGGGGAAGGGCTGAGGGAGGACTGGGCTACACGGGGAGGGGGGGTGGGGCCAGACAGGATGGGTAACGACTGAACTGGGGGGCACTGAGAGAGTGAGGAGGGAATAGAAACTGAGGCCGTGGGGGCGGGAAAGGCTTCTTGGTGGTGGGGCTATGGGAGACTCTGAGGGGGCGTTCAGCCCGACTTGGGGGGGGTGAAAGGTAAGGGGGGAGGGGAACTGGGAGTTGCGGGGTGGGGGGTCGGGCGGGTAACGACCAACTGCCTGGCGAGTGTGGGCTCAGGGCCAGGGCGGGGAGCGCCACTCCCCACAGAGGGCGCTGTATGTGGTAGGGGGGGAGTGGTCATTAGGACTAAAGCCTGTAGAAATGCTAGTTGGTTGGGGGGGGCTGTTCGTGAGAAATCCAAGTGGATGATGGGGTGTGTCCCAGAGCCTATAGGAGAAGGAATTCTGGCTAAGACCATCTCTACTGCCCTCTTCTACTCCTAATCTGCAGCCCATATCCAGCCATCCTCATGGACCCCAGTGATTTCCCCAGTCCATTTGACCCATTGACCCTGCCAGAGAAGCCCCTGGCTGGAGACCTTCCAGTAGACATGGAATTTGGAGAGGATCTGCTGGAATCCCAGACTGCCCCAACTCGAGGATGGGCACCCCCTGGCCCTTCTCCATCCTCGGGAGCCCTGGACCTGCTTGATACCCCTGCTGGCCTGGAAAAAGACCCTGGAGTAGTCTTGGATGGAGCCACTGAGCTGCTGGGGCTTGGAGGGCTGCTCTATAAAACTCCCTCCCCCCCAGAGGTGGACCATGGTCCTGAGGGGACCCTTGCTTGGGATTCAGGGGATCAGACCCTAGAGCCTGGACCAGGGGGCCAAACCCCTGAGGTGGTGCCACCTGATCCAGGGGCTGGGGCAAATCCCTCTTCACCAGAGGGGCTGCTAGAGCCTTTGGCTCCAGATTCTCCAATAACCCTGCAACCCCCCCATATTGAAGAGGAAGAGACAACCTCCGTAGCTACCAGGAGAAGGGGCTCCCCTGGGCAAGAGGAGGAGCTTCCCCAAGGGCAACCACAGAGCCCAAATGCCCCCCCTAGCCCTTCAGTGGGAGAGACTCTGGGGGATGGAATCAACAGTTCTCAGACCAAACCTGGGGGCTCTAGCCCCCCTGCACATCCTTCCTTGCCAGGTAGGTTGCCTAATCATCTGGAGAATCAGGGCTGGGAGCGGCAAGGAGGGTGGCTATGTACTTTGGGAAGTAGGGGGGAGGAGGAGGAGGAGGAGAGTGAAGAGATAAGTCTAGGGATATGTGTGGGTAAGGAGTTGGGATTTGGGAGGGAGGGGGTTTCTGGTGAAGAAGATTATAGAAAATAGGGGCTGTGTCAGAGAAATGGGATGGTTTCATAGAGTGGGATGCAAGGAATGGGTTTTGTAGGAGAGATTCCCTTTTTCTTATCCCAGTAGGCTTTTGGTGCCTGGTTCTTCCTTCAGGATTTGGGGGAGGACAACTGCTTCTTGGTTTGAAGATCATTGCAGCAGTTTGGTTCTAGATGAGAGGGAGTGGGGTTTCTGGGATTGATGATTGATAACTAGGTTCTGGAGCCCCCAACAGCATAGGATTTGAGGGGAATGGTAGAAATATAAGGTCTAGGATCACATCTCTAATAGGGGAGGGATAGCCTAGACCTGAAAGGCTCTAGTTTCTCCTTTGCTTTGCCTAATGGTGTCCTCTCTCCAAGCTGTGACCAGGGTCTTAGGACTTATATAACTACCCAAGTATAGGGGAACCTGCCCATACGTTTATGTTTTATTTTCCTCTTGTTCCCTTTGGGTAGTTTTGGGTTTGGTTTTGTTGGTAAAATATATGTTACCTATATTGCCTCCCCATGATTGAGACAGAGAGCTGATGGGAAGGGGTAGGTTATATTTTTTAATGGAGAATAGCTGCACCCCCCCCCCCTTAGTACAGAGCCTGAGGTAACCCTGAGAGGGGCCCCAAGAAGCCACAGGCACTCTTGAGTTTTCCCTTTCAGTTTTGAATAAGTTCTTCCCCAGGAATGGCGGTGGGGGTTGGGCCAGGGAGGGGGTGGTGAGGGCAGGCTCAAGATTTAGGCTGCTTTCTGCTTCCTTTGCAGGAGATGGCCTGACTGGGAAGGCGAGTGAGAAGCCGCCTGAGAGGGTGAGGGGGGAGGGGATTGGAAGGAGTCTGGTTCCCCCTATAGCTCTGGGAAGGACTGACCCTTCATTTTCCCTCCCAGATGTTGTTCAGTGGAGAGTGTGTATAAGGAGAGTTAGGAGGAGGGAGGGAGCTCTTGTGTCTACTGCTTCTTAAGAAGAAAGTCCTGCCTCCTTTTCTCCTCTCCTCTTAAGGGATGGGCCAAGGGTCCCTACTCTCCCTTCCCCCTCCCTTCTATTGCCCCCCCACTAAACCCTGTACTCCTATTAGCCTGGCTCTGGTGTCAGTTTTCCTCCCTCCCATGTTTCCAAGGTACAGAAGAGAAGCGAGCGCGTTAGGAGAGCAGAGCCTCCAAAACCTGAGGTTGTGGATTCCACTGAGAGCAGTGAGTAGGATTTGAGGAAGCGTGACCTGGGGATTCTGGGTGTGGAGAAGAGTGGAAGGTGGGATATGGCAGGGCATCGATCTTCTAGCTCCTGTAGTCCCTCACCATGCAGAGTGTGAAGTGCCTGTCTCCGCTATGGGTTGGCATGGGAACCAGGGGCAGTGGGGGAGATTGAAAACAAGAGCAGTGAGAATGGAGAGTTTCTTGTTTCAGCTATGCCATCCCTGTCCCCAATCTTCTCTCCTGGAGCCCCTCCCTTCCCCTCTCTGGAAGATTACCAAATAACCAAGAATGACAGACACCAGGAGCTTAAGCTACCAAAGGAATGGGAAGTAGGGTATAATGGCCAAAACCGCTGGGGTCCTGGGATCAGGATTGAACTAACTTGGTCTCGTCAGATGGCTAAAGACCTGGTCTGGTAGCCTTTTCTCACTGCTCCCTTCCCTTCCCACTTCCTCAGTTCCAGTGTCAGATGAGGATTCTGATGCCATGGTTGATGACCCCAATGATGAGGACTTTGTGCCATTCCGGCCCCGGCGCTCTCCTCGCATGTCCCTACGCTCAAGTGTGTCACAGAGGGCTGGGCGCTCTTCTGTGGGCACCAAGATGACTTGTGCACATTGCCGGACACCACTGCAGAAGGGGCAGACAGCCTATCAGCGCAAAGGGCTGCCTCAGCTCTTCTGCTCTTCATCTTGTCTCACCACTTTCTCTAAGAAACCCTCGGGCAAAAAAACCTGTACCTTCTGCAAGAAGTGCGTGAGGGTCCTAAGGTGTGGTGGGGGGAGGGTCGAGGCAGAAGTAGTGGGATCAGACAGAGATTGGCAAGAACCAAGCAGGATGGCCCTGGAAGAGAGCAATTTTAGGGAGAGGGTCAGACAACATTTTGCTATGGTCATCAATCCCAGATGAGTAGAAAGCTGGTAAAATGAGGGTGGTCCTGAGTGAATTTTCAAACCTGTTCCCACCTCTAGGGAGATCTGGAACACCAGGGATTCGGTCGTGGCGCAGACTGGTTCAGGAGGTTCTTTCCATGAGTTCTGCACATCTGTCTGTCTCTCCCTGTATGAGGCCCAGCAGCAGCGCCCAATTCCCCAATCTGGGGATCCTGCAGATGCCACTCGCTGTAGCATATGCCAGAAGACTGGAGAGGTGAGGATACTCAGTGGGGGCTGATTTGCAGAGTCTGGCCATCCCTGACCTGCCCCTTCAATTCTGGGGCTTTGGGGGCCAGACCCTGTGGAAAAGGGGAGTGGGGAGGAAAGGCAGCCATCATGAGGGAGCATATTCAAGGATAGAGCTATTCCAGGATGTATGCAGCTGGCCGGCCTTGCTTCCCAGGACCTCACCATCAAGTCGGCAGCCTGATGCACAGGTTGGGGGGTCCCTGGGCCCACTGTCTGCTGTGAAGGTCTAGGGTGAGGTGGGAGGCTATCCTTGTATTGGGGTGGGCGGTAGTAGCCAGAACTCTGCTCAGGGTGTGTGTGTGTGTGTGTATGTGGCAGGTCCTGCATGAGGTCAGCAATGGCAGCGTGGTGCATCGGCTCTGCAGCGATTCTTGCTTCTCCAAATTCCGAGCCAACAAGGGACTGAAAACCAACTGTTGTGACCAGTGTGGGGCTTATATCTACACCAAGACCGGGAGCCCTGGCCCCGAGCTCCTCTTCCACGAGGGCCAGCAAAAGCGGTTCTGCAACACAACGTGCTTGGGGGCATACAAGAAGGTGGGGCCGAGGGAGTAGTGCATTAGAGGGCTGTGGAAGGGGGTGTGGTCCTTGGGTGATAAATAAAGGTGCCTGATGGGTCGAGGGCTGGGACAAATAAAACAAATAAAGGGGGTTTCAATTGTATCTGTTATGTTTTATTTTTGAAGCTGGCTGGTGGACACACAGGTCTTTGTTATATCATCATCTATACTTTTTTGTATGCCTGAAATATCCATGTTTAAAAATTTAAAAAATAAAAGCGAAGGGACAAATCCAGCCTCAGCCTCTCCTTCCCCATCCTCACAGAAAAACACACGTGTGTACCCATGTGTCTGGTGCAAGACCCTGTGTAAGAACTTTGAGATGCTATCACATGTGGATCGTAATGGCAAGACCAGCTTGTTCTGTTCCCTGTGCTGTACCACTTCTTACAAAGTGAAGCAGGCAGGGCTCACTGGTAGGTGCAAAGCCCTCTTCTCTGAGACCCCTGCTGGCCTTCCTTCTACCTCCCATACTCCCCTCTTCTAAAGTAATCCCTGCTGCCCAACCTCAGCCCCAACCACATCTTCCCATGGATTTTCTGTTCCGTCTTTGCACTGCCTTACACCTCCTGTGTGCTCTTTCTATCTCTCACACACTCTCTCTGTCTCTTTCTTTTTCTCTCTTTCTCTCTATGCCCCAGGCCCTCCCCGACCCTGCAGCTTCTGCCGCCGCAGCCTCTCTGACCCCTGTTACTACAACAAGGTTGACCGCACAGTCTACCAGTTCTGCAGCCCCAGCTGCTGGACCAAGTTCCAGGTACTCCAGACCCTAGACCAGGGATAAAGGGTGTGGCAACAGAGAGAGGGTAGGAGAATTGGGGTACATAGGCCTGGGCAGAGAAGAACAAGCCTGACTCCTCTCCCGACCAGCACCACACACATCTTGCCCCTCCCTTACTTGTCTTCCTTCCCTCCAGCGCACAAGCCCTGAGGGGGGCATTCACCTGAGCTGTCACTACTGCCACAGCCTCTTCAGTGGCAAGCCTGAGGTCTTGGACTGGCAGGTAAGACCCCCCCTACCCCCACCCACATCTTGCCACACATCTGAAGGGGTATTTCTGCTGGGCTCCTGCCAAGTTCAGTTGTCACAGTTGTGCCCTCCCTGCCTTGTGCCCCCACATCAGGAGCAGGTGTTCCAGTTCTGCTGCCGTGATTGCTGTGAGGACTTCAAGCGGCTTCGGGGTGTGGTGTCCCAGTGCGAGCACTGCCGGCAGGAGAAACTCCTGCATGAGAAACTCCGATTCAGTGGAGTAGAAAAGAGCTTCTGCAGTGAAGGTAAGGAAGTGAAGAATGGACAGAGCCACGGCCACGGAAAATGACAGAAAAAGGAGCAAAGCTTACAAAGTAGTCAGGCAGAGCCTTCTGCTCAGGTTGCTCTACCCTATCTATTTTAAGGCTTTGGGCACAAGAGGTTGTTTAGAAGAGGTTTGGGGTGTAGCACCTTGAAAAGGTTGGTTCTCATGCCTGTGCCTTATCTCTGTATCTCTGAACTCTTTGTTCTTCCCCTCTTCCCAGGTTGTGTGCTGCTGTACAAACAGGACTTCACTAAGAAGCTGGGCTTGTGCTGCATCACTTGTACTTACTGCTCCCAGACCTGCCAGCGTGGAGTCACTGAGCAACTGGATGGCAGCACCTGGGACTTCTGCAGTGAGGACTGTAAAAGCAAGTACCTGCTATGGTACTGCAAGGTAAGGAGGATCAGCATGTCAGAAAGGAGGGGGAGAAGAGAGCAGGGGTCATGGATTGTGGTACTAACATCAGAGCGAGGCTAGATCTCCAGGGAAGGGAGCCAGTCTCCAAGGTGGTCCAGTCTCCAAGGGGAGGAGCAGGGCTTATCCCAGGGGAGAGGGCCCAGCACATTTTAGAGAAGCAGGTCTGACCATCCTGTCAACGCCCTCAGGCTGCCCGATGCCATGCCTGTAAGCGCCAGGGGAAGCTGCTGGAGACCATCCACTGGCGTGGGCAGATCCGTCATTTCTGCAACCAACAGTGTCTGCTGCGCTTCTACAGCCAGCAGAACCAACCCAACTTGGATACCCAAAGTGGGCCTGAGAGCCTCCTGAACAGTGAGTCCCGGGCAGGGGGCACACTGTTAGAACTGGCCTGGGCTCTTCTAATCTTAGGCCCAGCCCTTTCTTCTTCCTATGTTGTATTCACCTCATCCGTGGCCAGAGCTACAATTACTATGCTTTTTAGCCTCCAGACCCTCCAGGTACCAGGGGGAGTCTTGTTTAAATCTTCTTGGAGTGACAATCTACTCATTTTTTTAATAAGGGTTATATATTTTAAAGAGTGGGTACCTACCTAGGTAGGATGGGGCATGTGGAGGTTGTGGTTAATTTTCAGAGAAAAGGAAGTATCAGCATAAGCTCTGCATTTATTTCTTTGTTTGTTTGTTTTGGTACTGATGATTAAACCCAGGGGCGCTTTACCATTGATCTACATCCCCAACCCTTTTTATTTATTTATTTTTTTTTTATTTTGAGACAAGGTGTTGCTAAAGTGCTTACAGCCTCACTAAATTGCTGAGGCTGGCCTTGAACTTGCGATCATCCTGTCTCTGCCTCCTGAGCTACTGGGATTACAGGCATGCACCACCATGCCCAGCAAGCTCTGCATTTAATGATACCCAAAACTGTTACTATTTCTAGAATATTACCTTGTTCCTTCTGCCACTCCATGGATACCAAACTCCTGAGGGCCGTATAAATGGAAGATCTCAAACTGTGGAGTTTTGGGGAAAATACAGTGTCTTCTTCTTAGTAGCTAGGAGCAATGGATCTTGTTGGCTGCCATTGCCAGGGCCCAGAGAAGACTAGACCTGGGTTGGCAAGCAGGGGAAATCCTAGACTTCCCATTTCTATTTGATATGCCTCTTAATGAAACTCTCCTGGAGCAGGGGTAAGGAAAACGAGAGCTAGTTCCTCCAATGAGAGCATTCTTTTTTTTTTTTTTTTTCTGATCTACAGGTCAGTCTTCTGAGTCAAAGCCCCAGACACCCTCTCAAACCAAAGTGGAGAACAGCAACACAGTGAGGACCCCAGAGGAAAATGGGAATTTGGGCAAGGTCAGGGCAAAAGCCAAGGGGGAGGATAATCTCTAAAGGAGGGTACCGTAGTTGGTGGCACTAATGTTCTTGTCTCCACAGATCCCTGAAAAGACCCGATCAGCTCCAACTGCTCCCACCCCTCCTCCCCCCCCACCCCCCCCAGCAACACCCCGCAAAAACAAAGCTGCCATGTGTAAACCGCTAATGCAGAACCGTGGAGTTTCCTGCAAGGTGGAGATGAAGTCCAAAGGGAGTCAAACAGGTGAGCCAGGGTACCTAGATGCCACAGGCTATATTTCAGAGTCCTAGGCCACCAGACCTATGCCCACAAGCTGATTTAGGGCATTTCTTGGGTAGCCAAAAGATCATACATATGGTTGTCCTAGAATCAGAGTTGTCTCAGCCTTTGGTTCAAGAGCAGTTTTGTGACATTGAATACATGTTAGAGCTTTTGGGGGTGATGGGCTAATATAAGGTCTTTGGTCCATTGTGACCCATTTAGCCAGGACTCTGAGAAGATCCCTTTTTTGTCAGCAGAAGAGTGGAAGCCGCAGGTGATTGTGCTGCCCATTCCAGTGCCCATCTTTGTGCCAGTGCCTATGCATCTGTACTGCCAGAAAGTCCCAGTGCCTTTCTCGATGCCTATCCCAGTAAGTTTTCCTGCCCTTTCTAGCTAGGTCCTCCTTTACCCTTCCAGGATTGAGACCATCCCTTTCCCTTACTCTTTTTTTTTAATTTATTTTTTAGTTGTAGTTGGACACAATACCTTTACTTTGTTTATTTGTTTTTATGTGGTGCTGAGGATCGAACCCAGGGCCTCTCACGTTCTAGGCGAGCACTCTACTGCTGAGCCACAACCCCAGCCCTCCCTTACTCTTTATCAATTTTCCTGCTTATCTGCTGATATGGTTCTTGGCATTTAGTTGGGATTTGTGCCCCCAGGTGCCTGTGCCCATGTTCTTGCCCACTACCTTGGAGAGCACAGACAAGATTGTGGAGACCATTGAGGAGCTGAAGGTGAAGATCCCTTCCAACCCCTTGGAGGCTGACATTCTGGCTATGGCAGAAATGATTGCAGAGGCTGAGGAGTTAGACAAGGCCTCATCTGACCTTTGTGGTATGCTATGGATGGCGGCTATGCCAGAGACAGGGTGCTACCAATCTGTCTGTTTAAGGGGGTGGAGGGTGATGATCTTGGTGCCAAATCGAATGGGGAGTGCATTTGGGAGCAGCCCCTGAAAGCCTGTGAAGGTGCTGGGCAGGAGATGCAGTGGCTGAGCCAACTTCTTTGTCTCCCAGATCTTGTGAGCAACCAGAGCGCAGAGGGACTTCTGGAAGACTGTGACCTGTTTGGACCAGCCCGTGATGATGTCCTGGCCATGGCTGTCAAGATGGCCAATGTCTTAGATGAGCCTGGGCAAGACTTGGAGGCAGACTTCCCCAAGAGTGAGTAGGATTTAAGGTTGTGCCCACTGAGTATTAGAACATCCATGCCATCAGGAAAGGACCCTAAATAGTGATCATTGTGACCCTAAGGCAGAAGGTTCTTCCAGGGAGTAGTATCCAAAATAGAAGGGTAAAACAGGTATACTGTTTGTAGACTTCCAGTCTTATTTTTTAAACATTTATGTTTTTTCTTTAGTTAAAAATAATTGTGATTTTACCATTTTATCATCTTCATTTCAAGGCTCTACAGTTCAGTATTGTTAAGTATATTCACACTGCTGTGAATGTTTGTGTTTGGCACTTTTGTATCTTAATCATATTTTTGCTGGTTCCTGTCTAGTCCAATAAAGCTGTATAAGAGGCTCATCTTTCGTGTATGACTAAAAAAAATAAAAATAAAAAAGAAGCTCATCTTGAGTCAAATGGGCAAGTAGCAGAGGTGATGTGGGAGGACTATAGGGTTGAGTTCTTAAGAAATTGATTTTTTCTTTCCCTTCTAATAGATCCTTTGGACATTAACCCCAGTGTAGACTTCCTCTTTGATTGTGGCCTAGTGGGGCCTGAGGATGTTTCTACTGAACAAGACCTTCCCCGAACCATGAGGAAGGTAAGACTGGGGCTACTGTATCTACAAAGGGAGAATGGAGGCCCAAAGGGAAGGGCTGCTCTCATAGCCAAGACAGCAACCTTACTTTGACCTTCCTAACCTCCTTTTTCCAATACTAGACATATTAAGGTAAAACAAACTTTGTTCTTCCAAGTTCACAAGATTATTAAATCTGTTTTGGAGCTCTGTGCCATGGAAGCTTTCTGTATTCTTACATCAGCCCCGCCATCCCCAGTGGTAAACACTGTCCTGATTAGCTTCCGTGGTGCTCCTAGCCTTAACTCTGTTACCATGCTTCTTTCTCTTCCCCTCCAGGGTCAAAAGCGACTGGTGCTTTCTGAAAGCTGTTCCCGGGACTCCATGAGTAGCCAACCTAGTTGTACTGGTCTCAATTATTCATATGGTGTCAATGCTTGGAAATTCTGGGTACAGTCAAAATATGCCAATGGAGAAACCAGCAAGGGTGATGAGTTACGCTTTGGCCGTAAGTACCCAGGAGAGGAAGGGAGAATGGAGAATAGGAGAAGGGAATAGGGAAAGAGGCTATACCTGTGATTCAGCTCAAGATGTCTATGAGTGATAAGGGTGTGATCGCTTAAGGTTGCCTTGTGAAGATGGGGAAGAGTTGTTGATTAAAGGGAGATGCTATCTAGGTTCAAGGCTAAGGGCTCTTTGTAATTGGTGGGTTTGTTCAGAAGCTCATATGACTAAAGGGTTAATGGTGGTGGACCTAAGTGAAATACTCAATGTGGCATTTTCTTAATTCCATCCACCTCCACCTTGTATCACTGCAGCCAAACCTATGCGTATCAAAGAGGATATTCTTGCCTGCTCAGCTGCTGAGCTCAACTATGGACTAGCCCAATTTGTGAGAGAAATCACTCGACCCAACGGTGAACGATATGAACCTGACAGTATCTACTATCTATGTCTTGGAATCCAGCAGGTACCCCTCACATGCTGCCTCATTTCCCATCACTCAATACAGCAGGCAGGGTCTTACTAGAACTGTTTCTAGCCCCATCCTTGACATTTTTCTCCTATCCGAAACAGGCAGCTTGCCTTTAACCTTCTATGACAAATAAGACACAAGATGTCAGTATTGTTGTAAAATCAGAGCTCGATTCCAGGACCATTGGTCAAGAAACAGTTTTCATTGCTCTCTGGGTCCCCTTTGCAATCCTTGAACCCATTCTCAGACGAGAGGAATGGATAGGACAGGGTTCCTACCTAAGTGGGGGGTAATGTTTAACTCCCACTGGGAGAGATCAGCCATGTATTAGCTGAAAAGGGGGCCTGGGCTTCTGAGGAACATCTCAAACCCTCCTCTTCTAGCAAAGCCTCGGTACTTCAGAGATGAAGGGACACCTGGGGGAAAGCACTCTGGGTCATCTAACCAAGCAGCTCTTTCCCATCCTCTCCTAATTATCAAGGACACCACGCCTGGGGCTACAGCATCATTGTTTTGCCACTAGGACCTACAGTCTGGCTTAATGTCTGTCTGTTTTTTTTTTTCCCTGCAGTACTTGCTGGAAAATAACCGAATGGTGAACATTTTCACGGATCTTTATTACCTGACTTTCGTTCAAGAACTCAACAAGTCTTTGAGCACCTGGCAGCCCACACTTCTCCCCAACAGTAAGGGACAGGATCGTAGCAACCTTACTCCTGTCTTCTCTTCCTCCAATGCATCACTCAAAGAGTCCTGTGCTCTCTGGCCTGCCACTCTTCTCGAAGGATCTGAGGGCAGAAGCATGTAGCTGTTTTGTCTCAGGGTTTAGAGCTGGAGGAGCAGGACCCCCCTGCTCTTGAACATGAGGAGAGAATCAAGACTTAGGTGTGAGCCTAGGAGTTTTGAGGTCAGCCTGAGAAGCATAGACCCTCAAAAAGAAAAAAAAAATGACAAGTCTCAGGTCTGAAGAATTATATATAGGACTAATAAAAAATGGCCTGGTTTTGGGTGATAAGTAAAGAAAGAAAGAAAGATGTTGTGGGGACTACTTGAGGTTTTATATCTACCTGCCTACAACTTGAGGGTGATGAGAGAAGCTCCAAATGCAGGTGGAAATAGTATAAAATATGCCCAGACCTACCATGTATTATAGCTGAGTGTCAGGGTTTTATATACAAATGAGAGGCATGCAGTAAGTATGCATGCCCAGGACCTTGGGTTGGAAGAAGCGGTTGGGTTTGGAAAGTTAATTCTCCTTACCTGGCCTCTCCCCTTGCCCATTGCAGATACGGTATTCTCCCGAGTAGAGGAAGAACACCTTTGGGAGTGCAAGCAGCTTGGGGTCTACTCGCCCTTTGTCCTTCTCAACACCCTCATGTTCTTCAACACTAAGTTTTTTGGGCTGCAGACAGCTGAGGAACACATGCAGCTCTCTTTCACCAATGTGGTACGACAGTCCCGCAAATGTACCACTCCTCGGGGCACCACCAAGGTGGTGAGCATCCGCTACTATGCCCCAGTCCGCCAGAGGAAAGGACGAGGTATGAGACTGTCCCCTCCTTTGCTTTTGCCCCTTCTCTGCTTTTCCCTGCCATGTCCCACCACACTTGCTGGACTGGCCTTTGCCGCTGACTTTCCTCTCCTTCCATTCCTGGGTTTGTATAAAAGGTAAGAATAGCTGGGTGCAGTAGTGCAAACTTGTAATCTCAGCAGAGGAGGATCTCAGGTTCAAAGCCAACCTGGGCAACTTAGCAAGACCCTGTCTCAAAATAAAAATGAAAAAGGGCTAGGGATGTTGCTCAATGGTGGACCATTTGCCTAGTATGTGTGAGCCCTAGGTTCAGTCCCCATTACTGCAAAAAAAGAAGAAGAAAAAGCCTGGCACAGTGGCACATGCCTATAATCCTAGTGACTTGGGTGGCAGAGGCAGGAGAATTCCAAATTTGAGATCAGCTTGGGCAACTTAGCAAGACCCTGTTTCAAAATAAAAAAATATTGAGGATGTAGCTCAGTGGCAAATGCCCTAATACTTAGTACCAGAAAGGAAGGAAGAAAGGAAAGAAAGAAGATAGCTAGCTAATCCTTCTAGATGATGGGCAGTAGCTGTTACATAAACAGGAGCTCACTCAGCTGCTTGTTCCCCACCTTTCCTCATTTTAAGGCAGTTTACTTGCCCTTTTTTGGGGGAGGGTGTGGTGGATAAGTAGGAGGAGGTGCCCTTAGAGAGTAAATAACAGGCTTTCTGTGATTCAGAAGCTACATCTTCCTTCACATTTTTCCCTGGAATTCTGTCCCATCCTTAGCACAGCTCCCAAGGTCCCTTCTCTAGATCTGAACCTCTGCTGGACTCTAATGTACAGGGGCTTGGGGCCATCATGGTTTTGCTGTCCTGGAAGGCAAGCCTAACCTTGCAACAGGGTCTTTTTAAATCAGTTTGTTTGTATAACTTGTAAGATCACCTCTTCAAGATGTCAACTGGAGGAGATCATAAAAAGACATTTTGACAGCAAGAATTAGGGAGGCTGCAGAGCAATACCCCTACAGGATGTTTAGTTGGTATGGAGAGACTGGCTGACTCTTTTTCCTGCCCTTTTTTTTCTCCAGTGCTGGGGTAGAACCCAGGGCCTTATGCATGCTAGGCAAGTGCTCTACCACTAAGCTACATTCTAGCCCCTTTTTTCTTTCTCTTTCTGTTTCTTTTCTTTTTTCCTTATGGTACTATGATTGAACTCAGGGTCTTTTGCTCGCTTAGTGGTAGACCACTAAGCCATATCCCTGGCTCCCTTGCTTACTTTCTCTTTCTCTTCTCCCTTTTTGTTGTGTGTGATACTGGGAATTGAACCCAGAGCTTCATGCATGCTAGGCAAGTGCTGTACCACTGAGCTACAACCCCAGCACCCCTCCACTTTATTTCCTTATTAGACTATATTTTGTATCCTGAGGTTTTCTGCTTTTGTCCTAGACTGTGTTCTGGGAAGTGCTCATTGAGCATGTGCTCTTAATGAGTCTAAGTCATTTCCCTCTATAGACACAGGTCCTGGGAAACGAAAGAGAGAAGATGAAGCCCCTATCTTAGAGCAACGTGAGAACCGCATGAATCCCCTCCGCTGCCCTGTGAAGTTCTATGAATTCTATCTCTCAAAATGGTAAGTTGGTGGGTTTGCAGGCATGTGGACCCAAGGGATGTACTTTGCCTTGGCACTAATCTTCTGTTCTCCCACTCCCACCATTGTAGTCCTGAAAGCCTCCGAACTCGCAATGATGTGTTCTACCTGCAACCTGAACGGTCCTGCATTGCCGAGTCACCTCTCTGGTATTCTGTGATCCCTATGGACCGCAGCATGTTGGAGAGCATGCTCAATCGCATCCTGGCTGTGCGTGAGATATATGAGGAATTGGGTCGTCCTGGGGAGGAAGACCTGGACTGAGTCTATGTGCCACCTGTATTCATCTTTCATATCAATGTCTGTCCTGTGGTCACGTCTCACAGGGTGACTGGCCCAGGAAACAATGCTACTCATTTTGAAGGGCCCTGACTGCCCCTTTCTACTCTCCCATTCTCTTCCTTTCCTAGGAACCCCTGGCTTTTACCTTCTTCTATACCACTTGACAACCACTGCGTTCCAATCTTCTGTACTCAGGGGCTAGACCCCCAGTGATGGGCAAAATCTAGTTAGCCCATTTTCTTTTTGCTTCAGAGTAAAACCTTTCTTCTGGGGCCAGACTCTGGTGGAGTGTTAATAGCTCTGGTGATCCTGTTGGCTTTGGGTTTCCTGACCCATCTGTGTTGGTGAAGCCCCTTGTTCCTAGGTCTAACCTAGGGAAGAACTCAGCTACCTTCTCTGCCCTGTGCCCACTCCACTCCCTTCTCCCTCTTCCCCAGTACCACACAAAAGGGTCTTGTCTGAAAGGTGTGAAAGAAATGATAAAAGTAATGAGGGGACCATTTACCCAAAACACAGAGCTTAGACACTGTTCCCCTCCCATAAGAGATAATTGGATGTTGGCACCCTCTCACCACTGTGTTCCCCGCCCTACCCTGGCAAGCACCAATCCATGGTGCTACGATTTCTAAAGAGATCCAAATGCTTTCTTTTCCTCAAAGGCAGAGAATGACTCTAAGTATGGGGAGCAGACTCCTTTTGTGCAGACTCCTGTCCCCTTGGTTTATGTGTTTGTCTCTCTCTGCCATCTTAGGTTGGCATGAGCCATGGTGTCAACATGCTTAGCCCCTCTGTAACTGACTCCCTTTAGTTCTATGGACAGAGCTCTCAAGGCAAAAACTACCTTCTGACTTGGATTGAGGCTGGTTTCCCCCTCTTGTTCTCTCTCCATCTTAAGAGCCAGGCCAAGCCTTTGGGGGACTGGGTCATGCAAGATAGGGTCTGTGGTCACAATATTGGTGAGGAGTTGTAGGCATGGGGCCTGCCCTTATTGCTTACATCTTCTCTTTTCCCCATCTTGATTTTGTAGGCCCAGAAAACTATTAGTGTCTGGCAAAGGGGATACCCAGCTCTTTCCCTGTTGGCTTTGCTGTTCCCCAGACTCCTTTTTGTGTTTTTATAACTGTCACCAGTTTAGCCACTGTTTAAATTGTATATATTGTTCTGAGGCGCCTGGCCTGTCCCTTCAGTGAGCCATGCCCGCCCTTGTGTTGTAGTGAGAAGCTGTTGTCACAACTAACCTTCTGTCTCTGGAATTGTTTGTTTCAAATAAAGAGTTAAAATTGTCTTTTGCCTTTTATGGGGAAGGGAGAGGTGTCTGGAGGGGTGAGGGATGTAGAAGAGCAATGCTGTGAAACTTCAGATCTCTCAAAATGTAAAGAAGTCAGGTGTCCCACCTCAGTTTGAGAATCACTCTATCCACTTCATTGAATGAATCTACTAGGAATATGATCCTTTTTATAAGTTTCCAAACACTTTCTGGGCACACTGGTGCACACCTGTGGTCCCAGTGACTCAGGAAGCTGAGGCAGGAGGATTGCAAGTTCCAGGACAGCCTCAGCAATTTAGCAAGACCCTGTCTCAAAAAATAAAATGAATTGAGGGGTGCTGGGGTTGTGGCTTAGTGGTAGAGCAGTTGCCTAGCATATGTGAGGCACTGGGGTTCGATTCTCAGCACCACATAAAAATAAAATAAAGATCCATGGACAACTAAAAAAAAACATTAAAAAATAGGTTGAGGGTATAGCTCAGTGGTAGATCACCCCTGGTTTAATCCCTAGTAACAAAAAGTTTCCAAATACTTAAGAAAAAAATGTGTTCAATAGCCATCTATTAAGTATTGCCTAGGTTTAAAAACCTATGTTACAGGCTTCAGAAAAGACCCAAGATTAATTAGACTAGTTTCTTGTGCCAAGTAGGTTTCGAGGCTAGAGGAGAGACTGACAAGTACAGTCATAACACAGACAAATGAAGGAAATGCTTTTTAAATTTTTTTTAATTTAGTTGTAGATGGACACAATATCTTTATTTTGTTTTATCTGTTTTTATGTAGTGCTGAGGATTGAACCCAGTGTCTCACACATGCAAGGTAAGTGCTCTACCACTAAGCCACAAGCCCAGCTCTAAATGAAGGAAAAATTTTTATGGGAGAGCAGAGGACCAGGAACTGATTTCAATTTTACAGTGAGGTTCATTGAGGGAGGTAGCATTTGATCTGGATCTCAAAGAAAAGGTAGGAGGAATTGGGAGACCACAGCTGTAAGGTGGGAAGTACAAGGTTGAGATTTTCCCACCAGGAAATGGTAGGTTCAGACCTGTTCCTTCAGGAAGAAGATACCTAGAACAATAGGAAGAATGGAGGGGGCAGGCCTGAAGGCTTACAGAAAGGTAGAAGGAGTGTGGCTAAGATCCTGGGGGCCTCTATAGGAACTGTGGGGATAGGGAAGAGGTGGATTCAAAGTAAATTTTAGATTTTAAGCCTTTTTTCAGACATTTTGAAAGTAAAACTTACATGATTTGATGAATGCTAGGGAGTGAGCCTTGGCAGAGAGGGAAGAATTGAGTATGAAGCCCAGATTTCTAGCCTTGAAGACAGGGAGAATGAGATACCCTTAATCAAAATGGGAAAACAGGGCAGGTTTTTTTTTTCCTTTGTTATTTGTATTTGTTGTTGCGGGTAAAAGGAGGTTGGTAATAATGTTGGGGTTCTGCCAGGCACAGTGGTGCACACCTGTAATTCCAGCAGCTTGGGAGGCTGAGATAGGAGGAAGATAAGTTCAACTCAGCCTTAGCAAGGCCCTAAGCAACTTAATGAGAACCTGCCTCAAAATAAAAAAAATAAAATATAATAAAAGGACTGGGGATGTAGCTCAGCAGTAAATTGCCCCTGGGTTGAATCTCCAGTATGAAAAAAAATAACACCCAATTAGTGGGCCATGCAACATGACAGAGCAGAAAGACCACTCAAATATGAGCTTCTAGTCATAGCTCTGCCATGGAAATGGGAAAGCCTAACTTTTTAAGCTTCTCCTAAAAAATGGGTTCATATGGGCTGGAGCTGGAGCTCAGTGGCAGAGACCACTTGCCTAGCATGTGTGAGGCACTAGGCTCCATCCTTAGCACCACATAAAAATAACTAAAATAATTGTTCTAAAAAATTTTTAAAAAAGGACTTGGTATGTGGCTCAGAGGTACAGTGCTTACCTAAAATGCACAGGCCCTGGGTTCGATTTTCAGTACCTCAAAAAAAAAAAAAAAAGAAGTTTGGGTATGAAGGCTTAGAAGAGAGATAAGGTGTCAGTTTAGAGTCATTTTCAGGGCTCAGGATATAGTTAATGTATGTAATATGAAAGAGCAAATAATGGAAGATCGAGGATATAGCTTAGTTGTAGGTGTAGACGACAGAAATAGCTAGGTATACCTTAGCGTGCATCAGGCTGCTAGGTCATCTGCAAAGAACTTCTAACTGAAGTTCTAGTAGTAAATAAGGTCACTTGAGGAGAGTGAAGAGAAAACAGCACCAAAAAATGGTACTGTGGGGAATATTTACGGTTAATCAGAGAAGGAACTGAAAGAGAGACTAGAACAGTAGGAAGAAGACCCAAATCTGCAAGATGTCAAAGGTATAATCATGAGATGAAATCTGTCCTCACAGGCCAAGGTGAAGTCTATTAAGTGTGTGTGTGTGTGTGTGTGTGTGTGTGTGTGTGATGTGTTTTGCTTGGGATTAAACCCTTAATCTTGCAAACTCTAAGCATGCACTCTACCATAAAATCTGTTAAATTTCCTTTCTCCTACACCAACAACAGGACTCAAAGCTATCCTCTTCTTTTTGCTTCCTTCCACTGTTGGAACAGAAAAGAACCTAATGTGATTTGTTCAACTAAATTTCAACTCTGTGCCCAGCCTTGTGCTAGTCACTATGGATAGATAAATGATAAATAAGAGCTTGGTTTAGGTTCTTTTATTTTCCTTTTTGTACCAGAGATGGAATCCAGGGGTGCTTAACCTCTGAGCCACATCTCCAGCCCCTTTTTAATTTTTTTATTTTGAGACAGATCTCACAAAGTTGCTTAGGGCCTCGCTGAGTTGCTGAGGCTGGCTTTGAATTTGCAATCCTTCTGCCTCAGCCTCCCAAGCCACTGGGATTACAGTTATGTGCCACTGCAGCAGGTTTGGGGTAGGCTCTTTTTTTAAAATATGTTTTTTAGTTGTAGGTGGACACAATACCTTTATTTTTTATTTATTCATATGTGGTACTGAGGATTGAACCCAGTGCCTCACACGCACTAGATGTGTGCTCTACCACTGAGCCACAACCCCAGTCCCTTGAGGTAGGCTCTTGAGGAGTCCCTGCTCTGATAGGAAAGACTAGGGATAGGACTAGGGTGAGGCAACCAAGGTACCTATGGGTGTAAAAAGAAGGCAGTTAACCTGACATGGTGACCCACACCTGTAATCCCAGTGACTTGGGAGGCTGAGACAGGAGGACCACAAGTTCAAAGCCATCTTCAACAACTTAGTGACGCCCTGTCTCAAAATAAAAAATAAAAAGAGATGGGGATGTGGCTCAGTGGTTAAATGCCCCTGAGCTTAATCCCTGCTGCCAAAAAAGGGCATTTACTCTCAGTGTTACATAAGTTCAGAGCTGGCTTTCATATGACCTCAAGAGCAAATAAATCCTTCAATTTTATACTCTAGGTGTCTCATTTACCTCATCCATGTTCTGACTCTGGAAAGACTCACATGTCAATAAAATAGCCAGGGCAGAATGTTAATTGTTTCTCATTGTCTCCCAGAAAACCTAGAAACCACAGCAGTGACATGGGAGGTGGGTTTTCATGAGGAGTTGGCAATAGTTTGCCAGGCAGTGGAGGTGCAGAGGTCAGTGTGAACTAAGGCAGAGAGGCATAACACAACACAGAAGGTCTAAAGGAAAGAGTGATTGGGCAGCAGAGGACTGAGGAGAGGGTGTACTGGTTGTGGGTATTGTTTGGGAAAATAGATGATATTAAGTTTTAAAAAGCATTGAACGCCATCTTGCCTGCTAAGGTGACCAGTCATTAGGGTTTACCCAGAACTTACCCAGTTTTAGCAATGAGTGTTTAGCATCTCACATGTTATGGCTTAGATATGAGGCATCCTCAAAAAGCTAATGAGAGAGACAATGCAAGAAAATTTAGAGGTGTAGCTGGGTGTGGTGGCACACACCTATATTCCCAGTGATTGGTGAGGCTGATGCAGGAGGATCACAAATTCAAAGACAGCCTCAGCAACTTAGTGAGGCACTATGCAACTTAGCAAGAACCTGTCTCAAAATAAAAAATAAAAAGGGCTGGGGATGTGGCTCAGTGGTTAAGTGCCCTTGGGGTCAATCCCTGGCATCGACACATTAATTAATTAAAATAAAATGAAAAAAAAAACTTTAGAGATAAAATGATTGGGTTATGAGAGCTTTAACCTAACCAGTGCATCAATCCACATGAATAGACTAGCTGTAGGCAGATAGGGGACGGCTTGAGGAGGTAGGTCACTGGGGGAGTAGCTTTGAGGTATATATTTTGTCACTGGTGAACAGAGCTTATTTTCCCTCTGCTTCCTTGTTGCCATGTCTGAGTTGCTTTCCTCTGCTATGCCCTTTCACCATGAGGTTCTGCCTCACCTTCCCCCATGATGTACATGATGTCTTGGACCCAGAGCAACAGAGTCAGTCATCTATGGCCTGAGCCCTCTAAAACTGTGAGCCTCAAGGGCTGGGGTTGTGGCTCAGAGGTAGAGTGCTCACCTAACACATGCGAGGCCCTGGGTTCGATCCTCAGCACCACATAAAAACAAATAAATAAAATAAAGGCATGGTGTCCAACTACACCTAAAAAATAAATATTAAAAAATAAATAAAACTGTGACCCCCAAATAAACCTTTGCTCCTCTAAAATTGCTCGTGGCAGGTCTTTTGATCACAGTAGCAAAAAAGCTAAGACACCAAATAACCCCTCAGTTCCAGCAAGCTGGAGCGATCATATCTTATCCTGGAAAGTATTCCTGTCATACTTTATCCTAAAAGCAGTGGGAAAACATTAAAGGACTTTCACAAAGAATTGTTAGCATATGCTTCATGTTTTAAGGTGACTTTAGTAAATCTGGGTGAGATATAGGAGGACTGGGCACTGAAGAAACCCAGGAGGCCAGTTACAGGGAGGAAGCATGGTACAGAAGTGGTTAGCGCTTATCCTTTGGCACCCAGCAGACTAGTTCCACTTCTATGGCTCAGCCCCTTCTTTCCTAG